GTGTGTGTGTGTGTGTGTGTGTGTGTGTGTGCACCAGCTCCCTGGATGCACGTGTACACTCATACTGCCACTAGTGCAAGAGGTAGAGAAGGAGATTCACCTCCGTTTCGCCATGATTGGCTGCCGCATGTTTTGTGTACGAAAAGGATAGCGAAAGAGAGAGTAGATTTGAAATCCCCTGCAACTCGAAGTCTGTCGGACCTTACTCCACCTGTGTTACAGGCGAAGCCGCAGCGTCTGTAGATTTAAGGAACTGCTTTCTTCACTGTGCCTTCGCTCAAATCGGTCTCAGCTATCACTTGAAACAGTGATGAGTTAATGGCTCCTCGCCTGTTTTCTCAGCGTTCTAGCACAAATGGACGTCACCACACACAATGTGCGGTCCTTTCCAGATCGTAATTTGCACAAGACAATGAGGCACGGGACTTGAATCATACCTACGGCACCGGTGCGGTGCAGTGTGGTGAGTGTGGCGTGATATGCGCCTGGCCAATGCACATGCACTGCGTGCAACGCGCACACAGGTGCAGTGCGCCGGATGCACACGACTGCCCCTGATTGTGTGAGCTACGGCATGTGTATCTCCTTATTTTCCGTGCTAACTTCTCTATATCGTTCCAATTTTAATGGAAGGGCAGGTGTGTGTGTCTCGTCCGTGAAAAGTGTGAAGTCCAATTGTCGTTTTCCCGCCAATTGTAGAAGAAACAAAACAAAAAGAGGGAAAAACATGACTGTGTCAGACTGCTTTGTCGATTGCAACTTTTCACCGAATGACCATGAAGTAGAACCACAAAGAGCCTTGCTGCATCACTCGTCAAATGCAGAAAAGACACCTATGGCGGGCGTATCTCACCATGTTCTAGCGTTAGATAAATTCTCATTCGGCACTTTTGGTGAGTGGTCCCCTTGATGCCCTGAAGGCTAAAACATTCCATGTGGACTGTGTCAGACTGCAATGACTGTGTCAGACTTCCGGAGTGTGTTGAAAGAAAAGAAAAACAAAAAAAAAGGGCCTCACCCTACTACTCAACAATCGTCATGTCGGCGGCAAATATCGACCAGAATCACAAGATTTCAGTGTACCAAATAAATTGTACATCGAGATAAGTGCAGGGAGGCCCGAAAGCTACTTTTCACGATTCGTAATCATGACTGTTTGCACCTCAAAAACGGCCTCTGTGCATTCAGAGACAATGATCGAGGTGGCAACAGCGACTTCGTCATGTAGTAGCTGTTCCACATTTCTCTCTTGCTCTCAAAGTGACACCCCGTGTTTCAGGTCCGATGGAGCAATAACGAGGGTGTCAGACATATTCGTTTCTGCAACAACAATGAACCCTCATCATGACCATATCCGACCTGAAACACACGTTGGAAGCTCTTCGATTCTTGAATGTGCGATTCCAATGGACACACGCACACACACACACACACACACACACACACACACACACACACACACACACCCCTATGGTTTTTCAGGGGGAGGGCGCTCTCATGCGCAGCCCCATTTCTTTTCTTTGCTGATTCAATTTTTTAGAGGGGAGGAGAGGGTTAGGCCACCACACACCACACTCACAATTTTTTTTACACGCCCCATTTCCGGGGGTGTGGCACGTGACTGGTGCATGCATGCATGCGCACTTGCAGCGCACCGAACGTGCAGATGCACCACATCAGAATGCACTGCAGCTATGACTGGAATCCTTCACGACCCCAATTCAAGAGGAGTCCCTCCACTTTCCTTTCGACCTTTTCAGCTAGCTTTTGATACCCTAGCACCCACGACAATAGATTGTAGTTTAGAGATGGTTCACAAAAAGTCCTTGCCTCCTTTTTTCCAACTTCGCCTGAACAGAAAGTTCAAGAAATGAATAGCAAGGACACACACAAAATGGAACTTTTTGGGGTAATGCAAAGAACCCAGTCAAAATCCACTGCGACAATCCTGGTCCAAGCCCAGATTCAGGGGTAGGGTCTCAGAAAAGTCCTTTGGTCAGCAGGTACAGGGTCAAGGGTCAACAGAGTCAGCCCCTGCCCCCAGAAAAAGGTAGTTGACTCAAGGAAATCAGGAGTCTGGCCCAACTCAGGAAAAGCAGTAAAAAAGTCAGAGATTTCTCAGGAGTCGACCACAACCACAGATCTGAGGCATATCAAAGGCTGTCTGCCTTGTTCCAGAAGTTTCCAAGGCCCAATGGATCCAGGCACACCCTAGCCAACAGCAATTCTGGGCCTTCCACGTTGGGAAATCTCACCACAAGGGAGGCAAACTGAGACAGGCCAAGGTCGGTCAACACTACAAAAGAGTTGCCTGCCCCAGTTGGCTCATTCATTCTGCTTGTGCTGCTGGAGGCTGGAGTGCTCCTCCACCTGGTGCTGGATCAGGCAGGAGAGTCTGGCACCAGGGAGTAACAAGACAACGCGAGGCAAGAGGAAAGACAGAGACAGCATCCCGAGATAGCTGTAGCACAGAGAAAGAGTGAGATTGAGGGTGATAAAGATCTGCGTGCTGAGAGAGAGAGAGAGAGGGAGAGGGRGGGDGGGAGGGAGGGAGGGAGGGAGGGAGGGAGGGTGGGAGGGAGGGAGAGGCTTACCTGACTTACCTTGTTGTTGGAGGTGATGAGCCCGCGGTTTGTTTATGAAGACCGGAGGTAGTGAGCGCCAACCTCCAGAGCTGAACTTCGTGCTGGAGGTTGGGCTCGCCTGTGGGGACCGCCACACAGAGACTTCATCAGCGGTGGCAATAGCTGAGGTGGTGAGTCTGGAGAAAGAAGTTTTGGAGTCAAAGGGGGAATTGAACAGGCGTTCAGAGGTTTTCATTGCTTATTATCGAGGCTTTCCACCTCCTCTCTACTTCTTTTCTACCTTTGTCTTCTTTCTGGATACTCGCTGCGAAGGTTGTATTTACATTGTGTGAAATGAGACTACATCCATCATTCTGCTGTTGCAAGCTTCTCACTAGTTCGGGTTCATTACATGCATCAGTAGAAGGCATCTGTGATAATTGACATACCCGGGATACCCCAGCAAACCCTCGCAATCACAAATGGTGGCTGGACAGTTGAATTGAAAAAGCATCCCCCTAGTCGCCTAAGTGCTTACAACCCAAACCCAAGCGGGTAACCCTATCACCCTAGGATTCTGCCAAAAAGCAAAAGAACAGTCGACAAAACAGGCATTCTGGCTCCTCAGCTGGAACGCCTGGGCCCTTCTCCTCCTCACCTCTCACCTCTCCCAAGCCTCCCTCTAGAAGTCTTATTGGGAGTGAGCATGTAAACAGAGAACACAGCCAAGAGCAACCGCAGTAAACGACACACCTCTTCAAGCCTCTTGGATGCCGAATACAGATCTTGCTTCAAATTGGGCATCGCTGAAAGTTCATTCTGCAGATCGGCATTTTCAGCTTCCAACTCAATCACCCGCTGTACCTCCTCTCGTAACACCTGAATCACCCCCCAAACAAAGCACAAGGAATATGTCAATGGATGAATGTTTCACATGAAGGACACGTCTCAACTCGAAATTCCATGAAGACTGAATTATAGACAACGTCTGGAGAACAACGTGGTAATGGTTCTAAGTTCTAACACCGAGACTGACCAAGTTATATGACTATTGCCTCAGTCTGTGTGCACTGGCCCTACAGTGTGGGCCTACACATTTCCTATCTTTGCCAGTGATCACAAACAGTCTTCTTAACCTTCCAGCAATCACCAATATGTATGGCTTAGAAAAGGTTTGTGCGAAGTAGTGCAGGATAGGTTACAAAGTACAAGTGAATGGGTGACATACTACATAGTAGTACAGAATGGGTCTGATTTGGGGATGTGCCCTTTCATTCTCTAGAACCATTGGATCAACAAAATGTCTTGTTGCCACAAACGGCGGCCTCCACCAAAACAAAAAAGACTTCTTTCACCCATCCAGGGTACTCCAGGCGACAACTGGTCATGCAGGCTGCACGCATACCCAGCCGAGCAGTGTGGGCAGACTAGCCTCAAAGCTATTTTTTTACCTTTCAAAACAGCCAACCCAGAAAGAACGTTATCCGCCATAGAAGAAGAGGCCATTGTGGAGGAGATAATGGATCTCTAAAGGCTGAGAAAGTGCGGAGAAATCAATCCGAGAGCAAACTGCAGACCGACCTCCCATTCTAGCAAGGACATTCAACACCCATCATCATCATCATCATCATCATCATCATCATCATCATCATCGACGTCGTCATCGTCATTGTCATCTTCATCATCATGATCATTCAACCGCACAATGTTGTCGCCTGTGGGAGTTGAGCTTCTCTGCAATCCAATGCTACAAGTATCAGCATGCACGTGATCCCCTGTGGCGGAATTTGAGGGTCATTTATTTAACAATATAATTCTCACCTCCTCAACTGTCGCCTGCAGTCGATCCCAAGCCTCCAGCAATGGGTTGCTGCCTGTAACCCCATGGAAAATAGCACCACGCTTTTCATTGGCACCTACTCCATGCCCGTTCAGTCCAACCATTGGCATTGCAGCAGTAGATGTGACAGTTGGTGGCGGGGATAATCCACCAGGAGACTCGTCAGATTGCGTACTGGATCCTGGTCCCTGATGGTGACGAGCTACCCCCCCCGTTGGGGTAGAGCAGCCTACACTGAAATTGTCGCCACCTTCATGTACACTACCCAAGCCATGGACTGGACTGCTTGGCAGGAGACCATTCCCCAGCGTAGATCCTGCACTATGTGGCAAGCTCCATGCAGAATCGAGATGCTCTTCAAATCCTGCCTGCGGAACCGGGAAGGCTTCCACACCTCTCCTTCCCTTTCTTGTCAATCCATCCATCTCCATGTTGTCCACTTCCCGATCACTGAGGAATGGTGCGCAATGTTCATCGTGATTTAAGTCAGGGAAACGTGCAGACTGGGTACCTGAGGGGCCAAGCAGTCCTTCGGACCGTGCCTTTGGCATCCCTGTGCTGCCACCATTGTTTAGGGAGATGTTATTTACAGTTTCCCCGTCCCTCCATAAGGCTCCCACTCCCCCTGCCCCTCCACCACCGCCACCATGCATACAAGTGCATTTTGTATGTCCATCTTCATTTCCCATGCCCCCACCAAGGCCATTTGTCAGAGAGGAGTGGTCACTCTTCCACCAGAACAAAGAGCGAGATCGCTGCCGTCTGTGATTTGGAGTGCCATGAGGACATGCCAAACTGTGTCCTCCACTGTTCCCATCCCTATGTACATGACCCTTGTCACTATTGTTTCCCCCAGTTCCAGCCACAGAAGGCGTGTGCTCGCCAAACGCAACACACCCTTCCATAGACCCACTTGGACGCAGATCAATCGTGCTAGCTCCATTCTGAGAAGGATGAAACGACACCTCAGATGCTGGCAACAATGAGCCTTGAAGGACAGAGCTGGGAAGCTCCAAACCCTGAATAGATGAGGATCGCTTCAGTGAGCGCCTGGAGGATCCTTGGGGAAACGCATCCAAACTCACTGATGACGAGACGCCCGAAGTCGATGCACCATGGATAGTAGCTGCCATCTGCTGTTTGCCAGCCAGTGAGTAAGATGGCGACAGGAACCGTTCTCTTTGTGAGCTCGAACCCGAAACCATCCCAAGAGCATCTGCCACTGATGTTAACCTCTGTTGTAATGCTTGCAACTGCATCAAGAACACTTCCAGGGAAAAGAAAAACAAGAAAGAGTTGCTCAGACCCTGCCTATGTGCAGCAATACATATACGAGAATCAAATTCACCACACATCCCAAATCCAGATGGAGAGTGCAGAGAATGTCAGAGGTTGACATGCAAGAAATAAGAAACGAGAGTTGAGTGAGCATGAACTCAAAAGTTCGTTCTCCTGATCCTTGACACATACCGTCTAGACATCATAGTTTGTGACCACGAACTGACAGTGCTATTGCAATCCCTATATCTCTAAGGAAGACCAACGAGAGTCCAGCATTTCCTCAGGAGTCTCAATTCCACAACAGTTTTGGATAACAGAGACCAGCGAATTGATGCCTGCATCTTCCAAGCAGGCACTCACTGCAGAGGTCGCAACTTTTTATTTTTTGTTCACTCGGACCCGGCCCATCTGGGCTTTGTTCACGCCTACCTGCCCAGGCCTAGTTACAAAATACTCCATAGATTGACCCAGCCACAACTAAGTTCATTTCACAATCTTGTACCCACACCCAACCCAACCACCACCTCAGAAAACCCCTCATCCATACCGGCACATACCCATGCCCGATTTCCATCCATCCGTAACTGCTCCTGCTTCCATCCATGCACCCATACCCAGTCATACCCACAGCCATGCACCCGTACCCCTACCTGTACCTCTTGCCTGTGACATTTCCCCATGCAAATGCACCCATACCATGAAAATGTTTCATTCCTCATCACCATTTCCAGTGACCCAGACTCACCCATGGTAACATGCTGACAAATGAACATTGAAAAAAGAACAAATGGACAATACTGGCATCCATAAGAGGGAAGAAAAGAAAAAGGGAGATATCCATCACTACCAAATGTCACTTCGATGCATCAGTACATTCTATGCACATCCATAAGAGCCCCGAGATGTACAAAGCATCACTTCAATCCCAACAGTCAAGAGTCGGTTATGCCCATACAGCCGACCGATGCACACAAGGCCTTGGAGTGGTTCAGGCCTCAGCGAAGGGGTCCAGGCCACCTGTTTGCTTTTTCAATTGAAGCTCGGTACCACAAATAATATCGAACATACACTCAAGTCGTAGCCATGATGGGGTTCACATCAGGCTGGGGGTTGGGCAGGGGAACTAGTTTGGCAGTGGTTCGGGTGAAGCGAGACAAACCTTTACCTGGCCAACACCTGTACCCGCCTGATTCTCCCCACTTGTATCCACCCATGAATACCATGTACAGACACAGCCACACATTCACAACCTCTGACACACTTGAATGGCATTTCATTGTAATCAGAAGATAAATAATTTCTCTCTCTCTCTCTCTCTCTCTCTCTCTCTCTCTCTCTCTCTCTCTCTCTCTCTCTCTCTCTCTCTCTC